GAGGGTCCCAGAGAAGAATCCTTTGAAGGTGGAGATTTCACTCTGGACACTTGAGAAAGACTTCGGGAGAAAGCAGATCCTGGGCAAACCTTGGAGGAAATACAGCTGCAGACAGACTGGAAAAACAGGCAAGATTATGGAGGAACAGAGGGAAGTCTTTGTATTGGGTTGTGACAGTTAAAATTGAAAAATGTCTTGAGTTTATGCTTCCCCCCTCTAAATGCCAGTAACACCCGAATCCACAGAAGTGCTAACTCATGGTTTGATCTGTGTTATCCAAAATAATATCCAATTATATGTCACACATTAAAGTTAGGCAGGCTCACCTGCCTCATAGCAAATGGATATGGGATAGTTTATCCTGGTGAACTCAGAGATGTGAGAAGATACACTAATGAGAAAATTATCTTTTCCTTGTTTTTTTAAAAGGAAACTTCAATATTTCCATGAAAGTTCACCTTTTCGTTCATTAGGAACAAAAAAAATGTTTGTTAGGAACGAATCCAGTTCCTAAGGTTTCTTAAAAACCTAGGGGCATCCCTCAACAAAAAGAAAGCTTCCTATTTTACATTTACAAAGCATTTTCACATTCTTTATCCCATTTGGGCAGAGAATACTGCTCCCAGCATTTGTTCTTGCTGCTGTGGGTTTTCCACAAAGTCACAGAACTACAGAGTAAGAGATCAAATTCAAGCCCAGGTCTCCCGACTCCCCGTCTAAAGTGATGCCACCCATTTCAACAGAGTTCTCTGTTGTGTAGGCTGAGAAAAAAACAGCAATCCTTCATGAGCACAGGGATGCAGCAAGCCAGGACACCTCACTCACTGTGACAAGAGTGCAAATTGAGAAGTACCCTTTGGGAAAAGCAATTTGGCAAAATGTATTAAGAACTTCATTCTGTTCCTACACTTTGACCAGTAATTTCACTTCTAGGAATCTATCCTGAGTAATTAATGAGATATGTGGCCAAAGGTTTACGTAGAAACATGTTTACTGGAATGCTATTTATGACACCCAACAATAGGAGATTACTCAAGAACATTAAAGTAGAGTGCAAAGATGGAATATTATCAAGGTCACTAAAAATCTGCTTTGAGGACTATTTATTGATAAGTCAATATCGAGAAAATATTTAGGATATAAGGTAAATAAAAATAACCAACATCCAGAGAGAATAATAAGCAAAGAAGAAAAGAAATAGACAGAAACATTAATAATGCTTAGCTGTGTGTGATGAGATTACAAATAAATTTTTAAAACTCATATACCCATTTCCACGTTTTCTATAGAGGATTTAATAATTTTAGACTTAGTAAAAAGATTATATTTAGACTTTTAAAAATGTAAAAGTAGCCAGTAAGTATGAATACCAAAAATAAAGAGTGATTAGGGATTTCAAGTGGTCCTTTTTACCTACCTAGACTGCTCTATAAACTGTACAGCTTATGTTTAGGAAAACCTAATAAATAAATAAATAAATAAATGTGGTACCACTCTTAAAAGGAGAATATTATGATTTGTGATGTAAAGATGAAAAGCACAATTGCAACAGAGTATGTGGTAAATATCTAAAACTAGAAAAGTTTAGCTCTGAATAGTTGACTCACTTCCACAGTTGAGTTTCATTAAATGTGCAAAAGCTGGGCACTTTGGAAGTCTTACTTCAGGAAGCTCTTAAAAGTTCTCCTTGCCTCCTAGGCATCTGATTTCTTCCTCTTCTGTCTTTGGCCCTGGCTGGTTCTCCGTGATAAAGAAGGACAGAGTCATCAGTGTCATCAGAGCTAAATGCTAGCAAGCCAAATTTTGGAACTTTCTGGGTGAGAGGGAAGGATGAGCAGAACTGGTAGCAAAAGCAACTCACAGATTCAGGGTTAACACTCTGCTTTTTGAGGAGACTTCAGCCCTTTGGAGGGCTTCCAGCCTGAATTTGGAGAAGTCATCAACAGGAAAACAAATAGTTGGCGTGCTCTGTGTTTACTTTGCCTTTCTCAAGGTTGCATCATAAATTTCCCGACTTGGACAGCTTTAAGGCCAACGAGACATTCTGTGAGCTCAGGGCCTCTCCTCCAGTCTGCGTGAACTGCGTCCACTCTCTCCCAGGAGAACCTGGGCTCTGACCCACAAGGTATGCCCAAGACAGTGCCCGCACTGTTCCACTCTCCTGGGGCAGGCTGGGAAAATGTGGGCTGGAAAACTTGAGTTCTTCAATGAGAGCTGCTGGGCTGCTTTGGAAAAAAATCCACTTATGCCAGGGGAGAGAAAGTCTGGAGAAATTCTCACTGGTTGAGTTGACAGCAGGTTTGCCATGCAAAATACCCAACGGTACTGTAGGGACCTCGGCATTGTAGTGGAGTTTGATCAATTCTAAGAGCAACTGTCTGCTCCACCATTGGAATATTTGTGTTCTCACCTCCACCCAACATTTCCAATTAGCAGAAAAGCCTACGCTGGAAACTGCCACATATAATCCAGAAAAACTGTCAACGGAACATTATAAAAATTGAATATGTGTCAGAAGTGGATTTAGATTCCTTGGGTTAATATTATTTTTGCAATTAGGTAATGAGCTGAAATTAATTTACTTGTGCTGTGCGATTAGGTTAATTTACTCCAGAATAATCTTACATTTTAAAAATTAAAAATGGTGGCCATATCTTCTCATTATCAATCAAAGTAGCAGCCGCGCCACAGAAACAGGCCCATCTTGTACTCAATTGTGCTCTTATAGGCAGCCGAATAAGCATTAAAAATGACAAATTACTGTGCTCCGATAGATCTTCATGTTTAAATAGCTACAAATAAGTGTCCATTTGTGAATGGTTCAACTTTGTCAATTATTTTTCCTATAAGCAAGATAACCTCTTTCATAAACAGAAATCTACAAATAATACTCAAAGCGCTTTAAATTCTTATATATAATAATACTGCTGTGTGTAGAAAACAAAAATAAGCTTACAAAAATGAAGCTAAATAAGTTACCCTTTATTTTGACCTTCACAAATACAAGAGCTCTCTCTGTGGCTCGATAAATGGTTTAAGACCTTGAACGATGCAAACGTGCTGACGATGTTCCCACACTTGCTTCAACCATGGTCCTGTTAATAGTTTGAAAATTACTTTAATTAACCTTATTTCATCTTGTCGTGGCATTAGAACACTTTTATATTTTTTAACTAAGCATTAATTTCTTTCGTTATTAACCTTGGATTCTGGCCTTGGAAGTTAAGGTAATTTATAATGCGAGTTGAGCCAGGTGCCAGTGCATCAGAACAAACAGACTGTGGGCCCTGCCCAGAGCTTTCTTGGTTAGGAGTCTTCAGTTTACAAGGGATGGAAATACAACCAGAGAGGGGTCAAGGTGCAGCAGGAAAATCCCAGGGATGGATTTTAGTTGACCAATGATACTGACACGGAGAGGAGATTCTGAAAGGCAAGGCCTGGGTCAGGTACTCACTGACCCACCCCATCTGTCCTGAGATCAGAGAGGAAGGAATCTGTGACTGAAAAGGGGGGTGGGGAGGAGGAAAAATAGTGGCCATCACCAAACAGCCTCTATTGTAATGGTTAATCAGAGGCACTTTAACAGCATGTATGAGCATGTACACTTTCTTGACAATACCTCCTTCTCTCTCTCTCTCTCTCTCTCTGAACACATCCAAACAGCCAAATCTGCCTCCATCTGCAACTGAGTCCTGGGTTTTACATCTGCATCTTCAACTTGTCACATTTCTCCATAATTCGGGTTTTCTGCCCTCACTGGTTTCTTTAGATATCCCACATCCATAGTCATGGAAGACCACAATCCTGCTGCCAGAGAGTTAGGGCAGGACGAACGAAGTCTGAGAGGCAGTGTCAGGAGCCACTGTGAGCCCTTGCAGCATGCTCTCCCTTCTCTGGAAGTACCGTGGCAGGCCAGAAGAGGGCAAGACGAACCTCAGCAGAGCAGGCAGCTGGAATCACAAATTCAGCAAACATCTCCTATCCAGACATGTCCAGGAGTCTGTTGTTGAAATCCTCAGTTTTGATCTTCTATTAACATATTTTCATTTTGGACATATCATATTCAGTGACAGGAAATGATATCATATGAACCATTGAAGTTCATTGATACTCCAAATACCTCAAGCATAATGTTTTATAAATGTCAAAATGACATCATTTGAAGAGTCAGTGCTTTCAGAGAGCCTGACTTCTCCTATTTGTTCTGATAGTCCCCGGGCCTGGAAGTCTTAGCCTCACTCAGTCCTATTCCTGGTGGGAGTGCTCATTATGTTCCCACACACCACTGATGGGGCAGGAATGGGCAGGGGAGGTTATGACAAGCCAGGGCAGAGCCTCCAAAGCCACCTGTCCGATATTCACATGTCACATACTGTTGCGAATTGAGTAGGGTGTCTCTGCCTAGAGGTGCACAGCAGAGTGGAGAAATGGGTTACGTTGAAAAAGAAAACTCCTGGGTGGGTGAGAGTTCAGGCAGAGTCCCTCCTGGCTCAGGCCACTTCCCCAGTCTACAAGATCCCATGGGATTACAGGATTTTCCCAATCAGGGAGACACCTTGGAGAGCTTTTGGTCTAGCCCTTCTTTTCCTGCTGCCCAGGAAGATACATGTGCCACATTCAATGTCCCAGAACCAGGTGAAGTTCCTGGGCCCCTCCTGGATGGGCAACGGGAAGCCCTCTCAGGGCTGCCATCACGTTTCCTCCTTTTATCATGGTCGAAGGTTAGTTGTTCGACAATCTCAACCTGCGGTGACCTGACACACAGCAGCTGCGTCTTACTCATGGAGCCATTGAATGTCAGTGTTCAGTGGGTGCCTCCCATTGAGCAGTTTTGGAACACAAGCCTCTTTCATGCTTGGCTCCCCTGACTCCGGAGGCCTCGAGTTTTGCTGCTGGATCTCCACATCTGTCTGAGACAGGTAGGGAGGGAGCGTGAAGGACTGTGCAGGTACTGGTGGGTCTGGAAGTGGGGTGCCTCACTCCTGTTTTCATTCCACCAGCTGGAAGCCACCCTGGAGTCCAACTCTCACAGTGAAGGAGGCTGGGAAATACAGCCCAGCTGTGGGCATAGGAAGAAGATGGGGCTAAGAAAGCACACGGCAGGCTCTGCCACACCTGTCTTTCAAGGCAACTGAGGTGAGTCTGTTGACGGCTGTTCATTTCAGGTTCTTTGTTTGGGATGCTGACATTGAATAGCAGAGAACATGTGGTCTCTGGAGATTGGTCAAACTTGGGTTAAGATACTGTTGTGTGACCTTGGGCAAAGAATTGACCTCTTTGAGCCTCAGTTTGCTTGATTAGGAAATAGGGGCATCTTGTGAGGTCACTGTGCATATTATATGAGATGATGGATATAATTATATCCTCATAGTTGTTGGTACAGACCATTGTGACTAGATGGGGGTGGGGTGGGGACAGACTTCCCACTTCCCATGTCCCATTGTGGCAGCACTGCCCAGCAAGGCTCAGACAACATGTTTCATAAGATGCCAAGAGAAGTGGCACTTTCCTCATTCTCTTGCTAAATTTCAAGGTAACTCATTCAGACCAATACAGGGCTTTGAAAGGGGGAAAAAAAAAAAAAAACTATTCCCCCAACCCACAATCATCCATTTTATTTAATTCAGAGAACACAGTCCATCCGGAAAGCAGTGGTTTTAATATTTTCCTTTGAAAAAAATATATTTTGGGAAAGCAGTGAAAAGAGAAACAATCTAAAAAGGAGTATCAGTTTCACTTATAGGTTTGGGTGCCCTAGGGGTGGGGAGAAGTGTCTTCTCCCATGGTCAGGGCCCTGGGGGAGGATGTGGCTCAGGTACTGTGCCCTGCCCAGAAATGGGGTCCCTGGGGGCACTTGAGGGACTTCAGCAGATACTTACTGACTGGGTTAATAGGTGCAGGAAGACTGTTGCACAGGTAATATCCCTAAATGGTGCCTTTAATTGTAAATGTTTATCAACCACCACACAACGTGTTCTCCCCTCCCCCACACACACTGAAAGAAAGTAAAATGAAGAAGCCTTTGTCTCTCTTTTTAGCGCAGTGTCCTTTAACATAACCTTCCAAGCCTGGCTAGTTAAGCTTAGGGGCGATAAGATATTGAAAGCAATAAATAAAATGATGTCTGGGGCTTAGAAGGTTAACAGTTTTTTCAAGAAATTATTCTCCAAATCCAAGGGTAAAATGGCGCCCGAAATCACAAAACGTGGTCCTGTAGTGCCCCCTGGTGGCACTTTTGTGGAATTGTCAAAGCCCGTAATTGTGTCCAGCCCTAGTCATTAGCATAATCTTGATTTATTTATGAGCCTGGGACTTGTTATACGGAGGAGGGGTGGGGAAGGCAGGAAGCTGGACTCCTTTCTTTCTGGACCTTTTTCAAATGGGTTAACATCACAATGCCAAAATAATTTGTCTATTACTGCTCGTGTATGATTTAAAAACTGAAACCCTGTATTATCTTGAAAAGAAGCCCTTTCACCTCCAAAAAATTATTGGCTTTAAATTTTTTTTTCAAGTAGCAGATATTAAGCAGGTTTGTTTTTTTTACTCATTAAAACATTCTTTGTAAATCAGAGGACAGTTTTTAATTTTAGAGATTAATTATCACATGTAATAATCGAGCCATTCTTAATTTTTTTCCTCGAGATCTACTACTCATTTCAATAAAAGACATATAGAGCCAGTCTATAAAATGAGAATGGAGATTGTAGATAAAATTACAATATTACAAAAGGCAGTATATTCTCCTTAAAAAAATCTTGAAATTTATTCTAATAAGAATATTCCTGTTCCTAGGAAAGGGAAACTAGTTAAATTATACACATTTAGCAAGTAGAAGTGGTGAAAGGTAATAATTAAACATTTTATATTACTCATCTTTATTGATGAATCTGGCCAGCCTCAAAAATGCTACAACCAGAATTGTAGAATGTTATGAAAAAAGAAGGGTCTTTTTCTTCTTCTGCCCCCTTCTGTGCTGGTGGAAGTCAATTTAACTGCAGGAACTAAATGTGCCAGGCATCCTGCTAGCCCCTGGCATAGGCCAAGTCCTCGACCCTCAGGAGCTCCAGATCTGGAAGGTAGACACACAGGCAAGGCCAGCCATTTCCAGCCCAAGAGATGAATGCAGGGCTAGAGAGGCAAGATTTGGGAAGAGAAGGCCAGAGGAGTCTGGGAGGCTTTCCTGTGAGTTTGGAAGATAGGAATTAGCTAAGGGGGAAAAGAGCAGGCAAGGGAGTTGTAGAGACAGGAACCCTCACAGGCCAAGGGGCTCCATAGAACTTCTTTCTAGGAAGGGGGCATGGAGGGAGGAGCCATAAACTACAGAGGGTCCCCAGAGTGCTGCACTAAGCACCCCTGCAGATGGAGACCTTGGTATTATGAGGAAGAAGCACGGGATACAGACAAGACAGGAGCTTCAGATCTTTTCAGGTCCTTGTTCAAAGCCCCTCTCAGTCACTACCAATCTTGGGAAGGTTTCCTGCCTTTCTCAGCCTCTGTTTTTTCATGGATAAATTGGGCATGACAATGCCTACTCTTACAGATTGGAGAAGGCTTATAGGGTGTGATTGACAGAGGGACTGACCCTGCCGGTGCCCTGTGGATGGTAGCTAGCTTTTATCAAAGTGAAAATTATTCACATTATCTGAGCTCCAGACCAGCACACCTATAATCCCAGCAGCTTGGGGAGCTGAGGCGGGAGGATCTCAAGTTCAAAACCAGCCTCAGCATCTTAGTGAGGTCTTAAGCAACTTAGGGAGACCCTGCATCTGAGTAAAAACTATAAAAAGGGCCAGGGATGTGGCTCAGTGGTTAAGTGCCTTTAGGTTCCATCTCCAATATCAAAACAGACAAACAGACAAAATTGCAGATCAAGCCAGGTTCCTGCCTGGGATCTCATTGAGTCACCAAAGCATCCCCCAGTGTCTGGTTACATATATTTTTCATATGATCAAATAATTGACATCTGCCTCTTCCTCTAGCTGGAAGCCCCCTGAGGACAGGAGCTGTGCTGATCTTGTCACATGGCCCACTTGCCCTTTGGGTGCCGGAGAATAGCTGTCAAATGAAGGAGGAAGGAGACGGCTGGGGCATAGCTCTGCCAACATCTTGCTTCGCTGATGAGAGCAGGCAGAGATGGTGAAGGAACCCTCCGTGTGAGGTGCCATGTCCTGTGACCCTGTAATTCTGGGTTGGTAACTGTTTGGGAAACTACAGTTGAATTAGGGACATTAGTGTCCTTATTTTCATCACCTGGGAGGACAGAGCTGTGGTTGAGAAAACTGACTGAGGAGTCTGAAGGCCTGGCCTGTGGTTCCCCTTCTCTCCCACCCCATGCCTCCATGCATCTTTGGAAGAAAGATAAGACAGTTTATTTGCAGATATTTTTTTTTTAGGATTAAACAATCCATTTACAACTCAAACATCCCATATCTATATTTAGGTGTTATTATTGAGTATTGGATTTACAGATTAAAAAAAAATCTTTTGGCTTTTGATTGACTGTTCTGTAAGGAAGGAAAGACAAATAGCAGTTCCCATATTTATTCTCTGCAGTAAAGACAAATTATCCTGCATTCAGCTATAAAAAAACAACACAAAGAAACTCAAACCCAGGAACTCCCTTTGCATCATTAAATTCAAATGAAAATGTCTCAGTGTGTAGACAGAAATTGTGGATAGCTGTAATTAGTTAATATTGCCTATATGTCACAAGCAAGTTTCCCATAGCATTGCTTGGAAAAAAAAATGTATATGTACTCTGAATTTCCATGAATGAAAGAAATAAGTGCATTTCTCTTTATAAATATAGAAATATGCATGGAAATAGAGGCTGATGAGTTCAACTACATTCTCAGGTAGTGTTGGCTGCCAGGACTAAAATCCTCATCTCCCGAGGTACTATAGTTTGAATAAACTATTATTGCCCAAGGTTCCAGGTATTAAAGGCTTGGTTCCCCAGGGTGGGAGGCAGGGAAATCTTTGGGAAATGGGACCTTGTAGGAGGTTCTTAAGTCATTGGGGGTGTGCCTTTGGAGGGGAATATGGGGTCTTGGTCTTGTCCTCTGTTTTTGGTTTTTGGCTTCCTGGCTCAGGAGGTGAGCTGTTTTACTCCACCCATGCACTTCTGCCATGCTGTGCTGCTTCACCAATCGCCTGAAGAATGGAGCTTGATCATGGACTCAAATATCCAAAAGCATGAGGCAAAATAAGTTACCTCTTTTCTTTAAAAGCTGCCTCAGGAATTTTGTTATAGTGACGGAACACTGATGAATACATACCATGTTCTGGTACAGTTTAGTTCTTTGTACAGTGTCTCCCTGATGGTTTCTTCTTTCCTCCAGACATCAAACACAGGCCGAGGGCTCACTGGGCAGGCCATGTGTAGCATGGAGTCCACAATTGGAAGGAACCCAGGCCTGGGGCAAAATTCTCAGAGGCGCATAGGTATCGACCCTTTAGCATATGCTGGATATTTGGGCTGATACCTTTAGTGATTACAGTGCAAATATTCAAAGGATGGTGACCAATGTTGTGGGAGGTCCATGGTGCCTAAGACAACCTGCACAGCAAAACACACTACCCTGCTTTCTGCACACCTGCCAAATGTCCCTCCAGTCTCTAGTGAGAGACCTTTTTATAATCATCTCAGCCTAGTTACTGAGGCTGTTTTATAATTAAATAGAAAGGTTTAACAATTTTTATTTTCAGCTTTTTGGCACTCTGAATTTTCTACCATGCAAATCGAGAGAAGGTTGCCCTTTATTGCAGTCAGAAATCACAAAGTGCTTTTCTCCTGGCAGGAAAAAGGCTGCCTGTGTGCCCTGGAGCCATGCTGAGCTGGTGGCACTGTGGGGGCGCAGTGCCGAGCAGCAGGCGCTGACCATGGCATCGTGTCTCCTGGTATCCCAGCTGGAACGCTGACTTGGTGAAATACATACATATTTTATCAAAAACTTCATTTTCTCTTTATATTTCAGATAGGACCTTATACTGACTTGTTGACATGATGTGTTTATGTAGATTATCCCTGAATTTCATTTCTGGGCCGAAGATGATGTGATGAATATTCGGTACAAGAAAGGGTGAAAGATTGTTGATGGGGGGGCGGGATGGAGATCAGGAGCAGCAGGCTGGGAAGGTGGGGTAGAGCAGCGCCTCTGACTGTCACTGGGCACAGAGACCCTGAGAGAAAACAAGCCACAGCACATTTATTTAAAATGCTGCTAGCATACATATTAATCCAAAAGAAAATAGTCATAAACATTCAAGCCAGAGTCTCCCAACTAGCACCAGGGAGTGAATCTGAGCACCATGCTCTCCTAAACTTCTCAACTTGCTTCTGTATATGCAAAATAATGGGGCTGGGCTCTGTGACAACTTCGGAGATTTTTTTTGCTAAAATTTTATCATCTACAGCTGCTGTAGTAAATCTGTCTCTGTCTCTCTCTTTCTCTCTCTCTCTCTTTTTTTTTTTTTAGATTCAGGCAATGAACTTCCATAGAGACATGATTTTTTTTTCTTCACATTATTTTCCAGTTGAAAAAAATCCTAAGAGAGAAAAATCTGGCAAAAGGTGAAATGAATATCTGTAATTTCTAGAAATACACAATTTTATGGAAATTTTTCTTAGCATAAAACTACTAAGATGGATGAGTTTCAAATCTAGCTCTACCAGTCATTTGCTGTGTGACCCTGAGCTGGTTGCTTAACTTCTCAAGATGGAAATGATAATCGTCCATACCTCCAGCAATATGAGACTTAAACGAGGTAAGGCCTTGCACTAGAACATACCGTGCCATTCAGTTTTGCGAGATGAAAATGTTCTAGAGATCAGTTGCACTACAATAGGAATATATTTAATATTAGTCAACTGTACACTTAAGAATGATAAATTTATGCCATGTATTTTTATCCCAATCTAAGAAACTGAATTGCAAAATGTATATGCATAGGTACGTACTAAGTGCTTAATAAGCATACCGTACCTATCATTATGCCTCTTACTTTGTTTTCAGGTGGGCTCACATCCTTCTCATTCATTCATTCCATGAGCAAGGAGCAAGTGTGGCAAGCCCGGCCCTGAGTTAGGCTAGGGATGTCCAGAGAAGAACATCACTGCAGACCTCAAGACTGACAGCCCTAGAAGGGGAGGTGGGGGGTAAGCAGTTGCCACTTAGGGTGGTGAGGGCCATGGCAGAGATGGGACCAACAGGATGGGAGGAAACTCGTGTGTGCTTCTCCAGAGGAGAGCCCCGGGGTGGAGGGAGTGGAGAGAGAAGGAAACTGTTGCAGCAGAAGGTTTGCTGCAGTGTTTAGGGCTGAGCCAAGGCTTGGGGGACACAGTGGAGGCAGCAGTCAGGGATGACACCCCCTAGATTCTCTGACTTTGCCATGAGGATAGGGATCTGCCTCTGCCACTGAGACAGGTTTAAAACAAAAAACAAAAAAACAAAAAAACAACCCTATGCTTTAAACAGAGCAGTGGATGTACGAGTAGTAAAGGGCACAGCCAAGGAAGACCTGTCCCCAGCAACTGAAAACCACCAGCTTTCCTTTCAGGAAAGCCAGGGCCATGGATGAGCCGTGGACATCTGTGGTCCTTGTGCGTGAGAAGGGGTGGTACTGATGGCTCACTCATCCCCAAGGCCCTGGCCTTCACACCAAGGGGGACCTGTTTGGGATAGCATTCCCATCAACTTGGCATTCACCAACCGGCTCAGCCCCGTGCACCTCCCTCTGACCCACTGCCACCCACATGGCTGGAGATATGAGGGGGAGTGACAGGCCATCCTCTCACTACCCATATGAACACCGGAGTTAATCTGTATCCGGATTATTATCTCCCGATGCAACAAATTATTTTGTGCATTTGCTTTATTGTAGACTCTTTGTTATAATAAAATTAGTTCTATTCCACATTATTGGTTCATAATTAGAATTACATGAAAAAATAAAAAACCCAGATACCATCTCTCTAAGCCTTCTCTGGCTGAGCAATTGAACTGACTGCACAATTTCTTCTCTCTCTCTCTCCTCCAGTTTCATTTTCAGGTTAATTTCAAAGCCCTTAAAATGTCTTTAAAGAATAAGACCTATTTCAACTGGATTTTTCTATAGCCCATAGGTAGGGTGACAAATTCGGCATCCAAACTGGGACAATGGTGTGAGGGAGAGTCAGGCTATTAATTATTAAGCCAGGACAATAGCATAAGCTAGAAAGGCTGCAGGCAAATAGCCACAGGTGGTCATCCTATTTTTAGGGGCAAGCTGACCCTCTCCCGCAGTCATGGGTTAGTCCTGCTAGGCAATGCTACTTTTCCTGATTTCCTTTTTTTCTTTCTTTTTTTTTTAAGTGTTAATTTGGGGCAGTCATTTCTGTAAATTAAAAACTCCTTGTGATATGGGTGGCTGTGGTACAACTTTAGTACAGACTTGAGAAATTAAAATGAGGAGGAGCAAAATGTATATTTACATCTAGACAGACGTGATTGCTTGGGACTTCCTTTGACATGATAACTAGGAAGCGTTAAGGAGATATTTGGGTGGCATTTCTTTACGCCAAACTTGTGACCTGGACCAAAATATGAAAACATACTTATTTTCTCTTAAGGCACAGGAAACTTTGAAAAAGTGACATTAAAGTCTCCCTCCATTTCACAAAATTCAGTTTTGAGCAGATGAAAAGTCTACCCTTTGGCATCAAAATAGAATATACATCCGTAAATAAATTTTTTTTCTGGGAAATAACTTTGTTTAGAAATATATAGTTAGTGTGCAGAGATCCTGACCTTGACTCGAGGTTGATTCAAGTGAAACTGGCTGTTCAGTGTCTCTGCCTTCAAGACTGCCACCTGCCACCCATTATACATCATCACTCCTGGCCAGCCAAGGAATGGCTTTCATATTAAAATGTGAGATATTGCTGCTTTTGGTTTCTTCCTTGATTCTGAAACATGTGAACCTTGGGTGAAAAAGTGAAATACCTTTGGTCCTCAAAGCAGCAGTGATTTTTCTAAGCACAAAGACTACTTCTAAGATTATGCTACACTATGTCCCCACCATCACCTAGGTTTTTGTGATCATGTGCTGGGTATGGACATAGTTTGCTATATGTCCATAACAATGTGAGATATTATTCTCATTTCAGTGTTTGCTGGATGGAGTTCAAATAAATTGGCAGTCACAAACTGAACTGTAGCATCTAAATTTGCCTATGATAAATCATGTTTTAACAGGGCAATGCCCCATAGATGTAGTTTACATACTTCTCTGAAGTCAGAAATGACTGCAGTTAGCAAGGTGTATGGTGGCCTAGGTTAAGACATAAGGCTTGGGGGGCTCTAGAGAATAAATGACTTCCAAGGAAGGAAGAAAAGAAGGAACAGAAAAAGGACAGAGGAGGAAGCAAGGAGGGCAGAGGAAGAAGGAGGAAAGGAAAGGAAAAGAAGAAGAAGAAATACAGCCTGAGAACTCCTGATGGTTTCAACAGAACAATTTACAATTCATCCCATTCATCCTAAGTGAGCTGGGGGGCAACCACCCACACCACCATCCAAGGAAAACCCTGTTAGAATGAGGTCATATTTTCCCTCAAAACAACAAGATGGAAAGTGGCAGGTGAACTGGAATTGCACTACCACCTTGCAGTGTGTGGATCTGATTTCTTTCCACCACGTGCATGTCAGGACTTAGGCCCCCGAGGCTGGCGCCATGCTGGTGTCCACACTGATGTGGTCTGAGCACCACAGCAGATGGACAGCTGAGGCCTAGAAGCTGGGTGCTTCCTGCAAGGAGCTGCCAATAAAGCAAAACTTCATCAAGGTACAAATGATCATCTTTTATCAGGATCATTCTCTCTCCTATCTCGTAATAAACCTGTCTGCATGGTGTGTGTGTGTGTGTGTGTGTGTGTGTGTGTAGAGGGGTGTGTGGAGCTGCTGAGCAGGTGCACGCGTGTGAGTGCTTGATGTCTTGTCTAGTGTGAATAAGAGAGGAAAGGGGGGAGCTGTTCTTTGTTTATTTTGCAGATAAATCTCATCGCTAATCCGGATGCACAGCAATGTCTTGTGCAAAGGAAAGGAAGCCCCCTATGCCACCCAGACGACATCCATATAAATCACAGGTTTTATTCTTTGGCTGTGAGGGGGCTCTGCAGATTGGTGCAACGTTGCACACTCTCATTGGGCGATGCTTCATTACTTGGCAGAAAATCCCCAGGGCCAAAACGTTATTTAAATGTGCTATGAAAATAAACATGATTTATATGTGTGTCGTCTGCTGAGATGTTCTCTGTTACTGCAGGTGCTGTCATGCATCAGGATTAGCGCTTCAATTTATCGTCAGTCCCAGCTACACACATGTTCAATGACAGGACGTTGTCCACATCCCTAAAAGTTCCAGGAAGGAGATGGTGCTTGCTGAGTGGTGGGTTTTAGCTCTTCAATGCTGTGGTTGACTTTTATGGACTGAGGATGCATGCGTGTGTGTGCATGCTCATGCTGAACCTGGGCTGTGTTTTGTTTGAGGGATGCAAGGAACAGACACTTTGTACTTAGGGGCATCAATTTCCAATGGCAGCAGAATGATGTTTCTGGTCAAAAGAGAAAGAAGAAAGTGCAATCTTTATTTCACCTAGGGCTGGGGCCCACATGTTTAGCTCAAAGTGAGTAGAAATCTCTGAAAAGCAGGTTTAGGCTAATGAATGTCAGCAGGCTTTCAGCCCAAATGCAATTGATTAGCAGGAAGATGTGTGGTTGGGATGTTTCCATTACCAAAGACTGATTTTTAAGGGAAGGGCTTGTCTTCAGGGGTAGAAGACAGTTTCTCCAGAGGCCTAAGTAGAGGCTTTCACAAAGGGCTTTCACAAACATTCCAAAAACATGGGGCTGACTTTGGCTCCTCCACCAGCCCATTGCTCAAGACATGAAGACAGACTTGAGGCTAGGAGAGTGGGCGGAGCTAAGCGAAGAGCCCTGATT